GTTTAGAGGAGATAAATTCTTTTTTTCATGGAATCTCTGTCAGGGAATTTGCTTTTTTGGGTTTACTTTTTTGGGGTTTCGCTGCAGTTTTGTAAATGACGAACTATAACTCGAGGCAACAGAGCAGTAAATGCTTTCACTGAATTTTTCCTCCCCCAGTGTTTTTTATAGTTTGCCTAACAAAGAACTGAAAAAATAATTAAAATACTTGTGTAAATAAAAGTGTGAAAAGTAATACTTAAAGTATTTGATTAACATTTGGGGTTGAAGTTATTTATTTTTATTTTTTTCTGTTGCCAAAACACATTGTTCCTGGTGACATTGCTCATCCAAACAATGCATTTGATATTAATGTATAATGTAATTTATTAAGGAGCATATTTAAATTAGTGTTTATATGAATTCCTTAAAGGTATGTCTACAGTGATTAAAGTGTAATTTTTTTCAAATAAAAATGAGAATCTTCTGACAGAATCCAGTTTGAAGATACATAAAGACTCTGGACAGATATTACTAAAGCTAAAAGGATTGTAATTTTCATCTTAGTTATTTGTACAGGGACTGGCATCATGTCTGAATGCATATGCATGCACATCACTGTGTGCTATATGAGACTAAGAGGCAAAGAAAGGTGTGAGGGCACTCATTATCCATTCTGTCTTTTAATTCTTACAGGAAGAGCCATATGTTATGTTCAAGAAGTCTGACAAACCCTTGTATGGAAATGATCGATTTGAAGGTTATTGCATTGACCTCCTCAGGGAGCTGTCTACTATCCTTGGATTTTCCTATGAGATTAGATTGGTGGAGGATGGAAAATATGGAGCCCAAGAAGATGCTAGCGGCCAGTGGAATGGAATGGTTCGTGAGCTAATTGATCATGTAAGTTACCTTTTAGAAGCTATCTATGATCCATTTAGATTTCAATTCTGTCTATACAAATTGCAAAACTTCTGTGATAATGCCATTTGAATACAACTGGTTTGCAAATGCAAATGTTTAAAAAAGTAGTGCAAATAGATTCATGTCCATGATTTCTATAGTACAGAATTTGTTTGTTAAATGAAGCCTCTCTGTTTTCCCTATGAGTAGTGTTTATTTTGGCCAAACTGGTTTAGCTCTTCCGTGGTACTTGTCTAAGTTAAAATACAGAATAAATAGTACTCAGAATTTATTCCTGAAAACAAATATATGGGAGTTTTTTGTAGCAAAACATATGTTCTTACTAATCAATAGGAGTCAGACCTCCTCTTCTGATAGTGGTTCTGAGATTTTGGCTAGAAGAAATTTGTGTATGTAGTGTAAACACACTCGTTACTTGATATTCATCTTTCTGAAATTTTAACAATAAAGTGCAAGGTGTAAGACAAAAATATCAACATATACTGAAGAAGCAAAGTAACATCAAAACTGATACCATTATAATTACCTGTAGATGAGAAAGGGAAGAATTATTTCATGTCCTTCCATGCATGCTTTCTCAATTGGTCATACCAGTAGGAATCAATCACTTAAAAACATTTTGGTCAATTTAAAAATTATGTCATTGTCGTTCTTAGCATTTATTTGGGTGAATTGTTTGATAGCATTTTCTCTATAGACATGTGGTCAAAGACCTAGAGAAAACATATTCTACACATCACGTTATTTAAAATGTGAAGAAGAGGATAGTATTTTATAGTTAATTCAAGTGAAACCTCCAAATGATGACAGAAACTGCATGAATAGCTTGAAGAAAGTATTCACTAATCTCGTTTCAATTTGCTTTAAGATTTCAGCAGATGGGCAGGATATGTGCTAATCAAAATATTCCTATTTACTGGGAGGGTTGTTATCTTTGTGCTTTTCTAGTAAATGATACCCTGGTATTGGTGTTGCAACAGATGTTGATTATTCCTGACTTCACACTTGAAAGAAGAATATGTGGGAGTATTATAGTTATATCAGCTTTAAATGTGTGTATGTATTATACCTAGTGCACCTAAGTAGACAGCAAACAGATATTTAGCTAGACTCTCTGTTCTTCTCTATACATGTGCATTTTTCACATGCATAAATGCATAAGACTTTTTAACTATTAGATTTGATGGTTGCTAGGTAATAGCATCATCTGGAACTAATTTTCCATGATTGAGGGTGATATTGTGGAAGTATTTATTTAGAAGCAAAGAAAATTCATTTTTATATGCTTTTATTGTTCAGTCCTAAAGGAGTCTTAAGAAAGCACTAGTATGACCTCCTAAGCTTTTCACTAATATAATTTTGAAAAAAAAATACTTTTGAACAGGTTTCAGCAGTAAAGTTTTCACTAATATAATTTTGAAAAAAAAAAAACTTTTGAACAGGTTTCAGCAGTAAAGCGTGTGGAACAGTAGCTTTTCCCATCCTTTTCTCTTGACAACACAAATGAAACATATGTTCTTTTATTTCCTATAGAAAACATATATCTAAATGTAGATTAATTTTTTTTTGCCTTTTGAAGTGATGTTTAAATAGGAAGCAAAAATGTTTAGAGGCTGTGTTAGTACATCACGGAAGACGTAGTCTCACTTTTACTAACCTCTCTCATTTTCTCCATTATTAAAATTTTCCTTTAAGTTTGTCTCAGGTTTTGACTGTAAAATCAAAATAGATTTTGCAATCTATTTGAACACATGCAATTTATTTATGCATTTGTGCCAACAACATGCATGTTGTTGGTACATTTTATTAGCAATTAACTCTTCAGACTGGAGAACTGATGAACAAGAATTTAAAGAACTGCAGATAGACAGCTATCACACTTGATGTTTCCATATGGTTAGTACTTCACATGGCTCTCTAGCTTAGCTTTTCAGTCTTTCTTCCCCTTAGAGTATATTTTTAAAGTGTCAAAAATATTTTCTTTGCTATAAAGTGTTTTGATAAACTCGATGACTAAATTTTTTGAAGCTAATATGGTTCCATCTACATTTTCAAGCTTGAGTTTCCAATTAAAATAGACTATAGAATAAACACAACTCTTAAAGTTGCTGTAGTATGTACATCTATTGAAAAATATTTTTAGAAATTATATTATTTTTCTATGTTTGTCATATTTCAACTGTTAGTTAAGGACAGAAAGAAAGGTTGATATGCTGTAGTATATATCTTTGCAAGGGTAATATTTTCAATCCAAGAATAGATGAAATGGATAATTTTGGTATATCATGCATATAGAAAGGAAGATGAACAATTCCTATAAAGATTAAAAGTATCAAATAACATCTAGAATTTAAATAAACCGTTTAAATCCATTCTTTGTCACTTTACATAATTGCTTGGACTTGAAAGTCTAAGTAGAAAAAAATAATGCTATCTGAGCTGAGCTTGGCATATCATGTCAGTCTCAGGCTTGAAATTTTATACTGTGACCAGATACTGAAGCCTTTCCATCAGGTTTTGTTTGTTTTCATTCTCCTTTCCCATAGTTTATTCATGTTTCTTTCTTTGACTATTTTACTCAGAGCTCACATACACACTTTGATATTATTCTCCAAACAATTAGCAGTTTCCTTTTGAATAAATGATAAATACTGAAAATGAAAAATTAGTTCATTGATTCCTTTCCCTGGACAACTGTCTAATAATGAGTTCTTGTTGGAAAAGACAGTGGTGTCTAGAGCTGAAAATGTAAGAGTAATATTCACTAGGACAGCAAATATAGATGAAATTTCTCTATGAATAAATTGGATTTCTCCATTTAAGCTGTCTGATTTCTTTGTCACAGTTTTTCATTCAGTATTTTACCCTCTTCTCAGGTTGATCCAAGATATGAGTGTTAGATGTTTGGGGGAGGGGGAGCTATATTCCAGGCATCTCCATCCTTTTTGGATGCATTCTTTATAAAAAAGTGTTCTTTAAACTTAATTGCTGTCTTTAGTTCAAGAAATTTATTCAAGAAGAGATTTATTGACTTGGCTTTGAACAGAATCATAAATTGTGGAGATTTCAGGTTGCTTTGTAGTGCTAAGTTGTCATGGCACTGTATTATATTGCATGAGATATAAAGTTTGAGCATGTAAATTATGCTCTGATAAAGGTAGCAGATACAGGTAGAAAGAAAATATACAATTTTGCTTTTTTTATCTGTTAGCCATTCTACTTTACAGAATCAAAATTAGTTTAAAACATTCTTCTAGTTGGGTTCTAAAACAGGAAAAAATTGCTATTTTATACTTTGACAGAGCTATAAATGAAAAATCCACTGGGAAGTAATTTGTTATTATATATACCCCATTAAAAATAACCTTTTTTTTTTTTTTTGGCTCTTTGAATGATTTTCTAAAGCACAAAGCTTATGCATTACAAATAGGCTTTAAGGCTTGCAGATCTTTTATGATTCATAAATAATTACAGAAAAGGTCCAATTTTTAGATCATGATTGCTCTTTTATTCTATATGTGGATGTAATTGGAACTTTTCTTTGTATCTGAGAAGAGTAGGATTTTCAGCTTGGATGAATTTTATGCAGTTGAACAATTGGAAAGCACTACTTAATTTGAGGTAACTTTAGATATAGGATTTTTTCACTTCAGTATCTTTTGAATTTACTGCTATGAAAAAATATATAGAATGCTGCATCACCTTCTCTTTCTGTATTTCTCATAATGACTATGTATTTTCTGCAAGACTCCCTAGATTTTTGCTACAGGCTGCTGTGCTGGTTGTCATCACCAGGTTCAAATTATAAGAATGTTTTCCAGGGCAACCTAGTTAGTAAAACAGAGGCAGAATATCAGTAATAACTTCAGAAATGTGTTTTAGCTTTTCTTACCTGAATTTGGAAAATTCAGGGCTTGGCTATAGAGGTTTATTTCTCTTTCTTTGAGGCCAGTATTTATGAGTGTAGGCTGTGATCCTTTCAAAATGCTATAGATATCATAATTTAAACACAGACATCAACTGAGCAAACATTAAAAACAAGAGGTTGTCAATATGAGATGAGTGGAGATTCAGAAACAAAGAAAATTCTCCAGAGAATACATTTGTCGTATGACAACATTTGAGTGCACTGCTGATAACTTAAACTGATGTTGGTAGAAACATAGTAAACTAGTTTGTATTCCAAGATCTTACTTGGGATATGTGAAAAAGATTTGAGACTCTCTTACTTGGGATATGTGAAAAAGATTTCAAACTGTTTAGGCCAGAAGTTTAAAACATTCTCCTATACAAGTCTCTTAAAATATTTATTCCAGTCTCATTAAGAGCTACAAAGTTATCAATTTAAATCTAGATATGGTTATTTCTCCTTCTTTAACATATAAATCCTTCACAGTGTAGATTATGTGATCACATAATGATATATCAGAAAATAAAAAAACAGATAGAAATATATCACAATGAAGAAGTGATTCTAACTCATGTTTTTGTGTTTTACCTTTTTTTTCCCCCCTGGCCTATCTTTCGTCATCTAAACCTGAACTCAGACTTACCTTAATGTTCATCTTAGTTATCTTACTGTCCAATTCAGTCCAATATACCTAATACACCAGAAGTTCTGGTGGGACTCCAACCCACTACCACACCTCTGTTTCTGATGGGACACAATCCCATGCTTGTGCCTTGGGAGCTCATTACTGACTGATGAGAGAGATAAAGACAAAGTGCAGAATTAAAAAGGATTTTTTCTTAAGCAAAGTGCATGCAGTGATCCAGTCTGATGTTTGGGCACCATGATATTGAGGAAGGCAGTGTTTATAAACCCTGTGTCTTAAGAGGTAGGATAATCAGTTAGCAGTGTTTGTATGGTGTGCACTTATCCCATGGGACACCCATTTGTGCCTCTCCTGTGCAGATGATGGATGGTGTATGCTAATCTTCATTGTTCTAAACCTGTGTAGGCAGAGTCATTTTGTACT